CGAGTGAATATCTGGTTGAATTGTTCAGAGAATATTAAGAAATGAATATGTTCCCAGCTAAATATTCAATATTGTATATTTATGAAATATTCCCATATATTTCAATGAACTGGTATAAGTAGTTATAAACACCTATCAATATTTCATCAGAGATGTGAGTATCAAACATTTATTTTATTATATTATGTTAGGAGATTTTGGATCAAAAAGTGTTCAGGTATGATCCGATTCTGAACGCCGCTCTTTCAAGAAATTGTTATTTACAAAAATATTTATTTCGATTATCTCAATTTTTTTATGGCATATTCCAGGAACATTCATATATTATTATACCTGGATCATCCCTGAATATTCCTGGAATATATTCTATAGATCCATGAAATGTTCTTTTGGACATTATCTATGGATAACTGAGTAATTCTTATTCACAAATTCAGAGAATATTCCAGTGATATTCTCGAATATCCTAGACTATCCCTAGAATATTCCAATATCTCACAAGAAATATGATATAGTGAGATCAATGGAATATCTGGTGCTATCTGGTGACTCTTCACATTATCAGTAATTCATAAAGTATTACTCACTTGCATGCAGATTCCGAACAATCTCACTCACACAGTAGGTATACTGGGATGCGCTATGGCTCACAAGTTGATAGAATATGTACATAGGTACTTCAAAATTTCTTATATGTGCCTAGGGTATCGTATAGCCTTCTACTGACTTAATATAATGTATCGCATGCCCAACATGAATAGATCTTTTGGGTTTTTGGGATTCATAAGTTAACTCAATTAGTGTTAATCACTGAAATAACATTATCAGTAATGTCATTAGCTATAAGAGAGGTTGTCACTGCTCATATTCAAATTCCTTTTTGAAACTTTAATGCTGTTGATATTGGAGTATCCGAAATGGGTAATTTAATATTCAATGTTAACTTAGCCAGTTCGAACACAAACCTTGATTTAACGTTGATATAACATTGAAATATTGCGTTATCACGAATACATACTATTCGATGAGTTTATTATTTTGAAGAATGTTTTCTCACAGCTGGTTGAAAATGCATTTGAAAATACGCGTTATTCTTATAAATTTCCCAAACGATCAACATGTTATTTTTAGTAACTAAATGAGACTTAGATAAAAGACCATTGAAAAATCACAACTATATTAATATTTTCATCACGTAAAATTATAGGATGCTGTGGGATCAACATCTTGTATAAACTTATACTGAGTTTGTAGTTTGTTAAATGAACATAATTAGTAGCTGATCAATGAAAAATGGCTGATTCGATTCACTAACTTGCCCAAGTTGTGCAATTATTTCGATATTGTCCCCTCAGTTATTACAGAGATTGTTATTGTAAATACTTCTAACGTATCTCTTTTCCGATGTCCACTGACACAGAAAAAAGGGATATATGGTTTTCAAGAGTGATGCATCACTCTTTTGAAAACAGCCCCTCTTTCCTTGCTCTTCGTGTTTTGTTCATTTCTCTTTTTGATGGCCGTCGTCTTCCTGTTTCTGTATGGTTTGAACTTGAACTCTGGTTTGAACTCCGGTTTAATACCCTGTATAGTTCAAATAGAGCTGTTGATCAGATTTACTTTGCTTTACTATCGCCTCAAACTAATAACTAGCAGATGCAGCTGCCTGATTTTGTTTCTTTTCCAATAAGTCTTCATGATGCAGAAATTCATTTACCTTCTGAGTTTATGAGCGCTTTTTCAATTGTGTATGATAAATTAGCCTGACTACGAATTGATGAAAATATTGTAGGCTAGAATTGTACTATTAAAGTTGATGCTCGAGAAGATTAGTGGACTGTAATGAATTTGTATCGAATTAAAACGGGCCTCAGATCATACAAGTCTACTATGACTTTGGTGTCGATGGAGGTCCGGAAGTCTTCTGCTTCGGAGCTGAAGCCATGAGGTTGCATTTGAAAAAAACATATTGGGGTTGATTCTAGCTACCCCTGAAGGGTTATATTCTCCATACTTCTCGTCAAATGTAGGTATATAAATACACTTCCCCAGTATAGCGAATTTATTCCAGTCAAAGTCACCACCCTGTATATAGGTAATATGCATGAACTTCTTCCACTACTGATGGGTACGTACATACATACCTACCATCGCAGTTTCCACATAATAAGAGGTTCATATCAAAATTTTGTCGGACTCGCAGATTACGCATCTCATTTTATACCTACCGCAAAAATTACTTTGGATAACTAATTATACTCATTACATTGGGGCAAATCGGTCAATTCCATGCGAAACTGACGATAGCCCAGTCACTGGAATATGAAAATATCGGTACTCAGTATACACCTATATGAGAAATATGAAAAACTTTGAATAAGAATTTGTTTTGCTCAACTCTGGGATTATATTTCGCCCTGTATACCTTGGTTATTGCTATTTTGAAACAAGGCTCTAGAAGCTGTCAGATGGATGAAATTCCAAATAAGATTAGAATCCAAAGAGGATTGATGATGTCATTGTTTTTATTATAATCGAAACTAGCACAATTTTCTTAACCCATTTAATTCATTGATTGATCAATTATGGAAATAGTTCAATAAGTCCTATAGAAATTCCAGGGGCATGATACAGATATTCTGAGAATTGGGTCATCTACAGATTTGTTTCGGCAAAATTTTTTTGGTTCAAGATCATATGTCCTTGACTTGTAAATTAGATGACACCGCTATGAAATAGAAAAAAGAGTTCAAGTAAACTTGCATGGAAACTTGATTCCAATATACAAGGTGTAACTTGATTGATGGCTGAAATTGAAGGATATGGTTCCTTCTCAGCTCATTCTAAAAAGATTTTACGTGCACCTACTATAAGCAGCAATAGGCATTTTTTGATACTGGAGATTTTTCAATATTTCTACCAGTGGCGTCCGTTTATTGAGATGTATCCTAGAAATATTGAAAAAAAAAATGTTGTCCGCCCTTGATTTTACCGAGGATAAAACTCTTTTTCCGTCGACCTCTTATTAACGACTGAGTTTAATGTACCTATATGAAATCGTTCATTAATGACCCCTATTAATGATCAATTTGTTTATTAATGCACGATTGTTTTATAGGCCAAGGAATTCATTTTCTATGTTGATCAATTCGACAAATGTCAAATGTCACTAATGTCAGTAACAAGGCTACTGGGCGATTCTTAGTAGTTTCCGGATGAATGATGAATTCGCGAACCAAGTTTTCTTCATTGCAGCTATGTTGCAGGAGAAATGAGTAATATAGTCGACAGAAAAATTTTGTAACCAACTCGTATATTAAAAGGCGATTAATGATCTCGAACATTAATCGGCCTCATTAATACACTAGTTGATTATATAACTATTTTGGAATCTTCATTCATTTCGAAACAATTCAACCTCCTGATTTTTTCCGTCCGACAAACCGTTTTCGCGTAAAAAATAATAACTTTTTTCATGCATTTGTGGCACAACGAAATTATTCTGAACCAATAGGCTATAGTGCCCTATTTCTCTTTAAAATAATGACATTTGATCGATTACGTTGCGTTCTTATATTGACAACTATTCATAAACGTGACAGTTTTTTACATTGTGAAAGTTTCGTTAATCAAAAAAGGAAGCAGAAAATTTTTACATCCTATAATTCGAAATATAAGAGGTTTATGGCATATGTGCATATGAACTTCACTTCTTAAAATGAGCTGAAGAACCATATCTTATATTTTCAGCCATCAATTACATTACACCCTGTATAAGGTATGTACATATGCCCATAGCTTGAGGGTAAATTCCTTGAACAATTTCATATCGGAAGTGCCTTATATATACTTTTGTCCAAAACTATATAGTTGACGAGTAATGACCAATATCAAATTTCACAGGATGTGTTGCAATGAAGCGAAGAGAATGTTCCTATAATCTTTCGTTTTCACATCAAAGATTACATGGAACTGCTTTGAAACACTCATGCAACTGGGAAAGGACAACAAAGTCACACTTATGTGGGTTCCAGGGCATGAAGGAATCAAAGGAAATGAGGCAGCTGATCGCCTTGCAAAAAAAGGTGCAGCATATGCACTTTTTGGTACTGAGCCTTTTTGTGGTATAAACAAATGTCACCTAAAGGGAGAACTCAGGAAATGGGAAGAAATTGAAAGGTCCTTCTACTGGAGAGCAACTCCAGGTCAACGACAAGCGAAAAGGTTCATCAACCATGCGCAGAACCGAACCAAAGAGCTACTCAGCCTCAGCAAACCAGAGCTAAAGCTCATCACAGGCTTTCTCACAGGACACGGCCCTCTGAGGTACCATCTCAAAAAGATGGGCCTGGCGGAGACTGACACTTGCCGCTTTTCTAACAATGAGACCGAAACCGCGGAACACATACTTTGCTCATGTGAAGTATTAGTCCGCCAAAGGCTGAACCACCTAGAACAGGTCTATCTCACCCCTGCTGAAGTAGAAAATTCAACCGTCAGGAAAATTGTAGGCTTCATCAGAAGTCTAGGGTTAGAGGACCAAAACTAGATAGGGGTAATCACAATAGATCTTCTAGGTCGCTTATTGTCTAGAACATGTTGAAAACGCATGAATATCATCACTTGAAAGTTGCGTACATTGAAAAACCATTGCAAAAAATCTGTCACTAGCTGGCCAGTCTATATATATATATACAAATAACTAATTTTGATAATATTCCGAATATCTCGAGAAGGTGCTGATTTATCATTTTCATGTATATTATAGATCCTTTGCTATCATCTCAATGTTTGACAACATGAAAATGCATGACTGGCCTACAAGAAATGTGGACGCTGAAGAACGTGAAACAGTTTCCGACGATTCATTTTGACTTTTTTTCCAGGGCAGTCGCAGACATGCAATTAGTTTGAATGTTCGCACACCATCTTCGGTGAGGTAGTGATGAGAGAAGATAAGTCGGGTTGAAAACGAGTGGTCGAGAAGAAAAAATCGCAAGATGGCTTCGGAAAACGTGAAACTAGAACCCCTTGGGCCCAACAAGTAAGTACTCATAAATGCATATCAAGTTTAAAATTTATTTAGATGTATACCTTTTTTTACTGAAGCTTTGTTGGGTAAACGATTCCAAACTCATATTTATAGAATGGCAGTTAAATGAACGAAGATTCTTTGTTTTGATCGATGAAATTGCGACATTTTATTAATCTTCTTGTCAAGTTTTTCTTCAAGAACCAATGCGATAATAGTGATATTCTTTCATTCTGAACTTGACACTTGAATTGAACTGAAGAACGATTCAGTTCAGTTCTGCTGAAATATTTCAGTTAGTTCAGATTGAAAGAATATTACTAGTATCTCATTTCTCGAAGTTCATGAACACCCAACTATGAACTACAAATGGTATGATGTACAGGGTGGGCACTTGAGTTGACTGAAATTTTGTTAGATTCTTCTAGAAAAATTCACGGTTATTCTGGTTGTTTTGGTATCCACGTATTTTTGTCTCAAAACACGTATTTGATGATGAAAATGTGAACAAACAACCATTTATCGCGATATTTCTTGAAAAAGTTTCAATTTCACCTTCTTTTTCCGCCTGTCCTAGAACTATTTGCCATTTGTTCCAGTATTGAACAGTTTATTTATCAAGGTGTACTTCAATGATACATTTTCAATATAAAAATCGACTAGAAATATGTGTTTCTTGCAATTTTTCGTTATTTACTATTTGGTGAACAATCATACCAGCTGCCATTTTTGCCATTCCTGCCATCTGCCATTCAATTATCAAGGACATGTCAAATATGCAAGAATTCACTTTCACCGTAGATAGGTTCAAGAATTGATTTTTTTCTGGAAATTCATATCACACAACTAGTTTCAGCTTTTGAAGTAGAAAAAAAGATTGAGCTTTCCTTCTTCCTTCTGAGGAAGAATAAAATTTGAAATAATCTGTATGAATTGAAATTGAAATCCGAAATTCATTTGAAATCTAAATTTGAATGGCTGCCAGCTGGTATGATAATTGATCAGTAAATATGAAAACTCACCAAAAAAAAATCATACTTATATTTTGTTGATTTTTCTATATAAAATGTGTCATTGAAGTACATCTGGAGTATATGAAGTGTGTCTAATGACAAAATAAGAGCAAGTAGCTGCGAATCAATAAATGCGTATATTCAATGACAGGCGGAAAGAGAAGGTAAAATATAAAACTTCTTCGTGAAATATTTCGATAAATAGTTGTTCATTCACATTTCCATTTCCATTCCAACCAAAGAGGGCTGAACCCCATCAATCCTGGTACAAACTGTATAGCATCAACCATTGATTATTTTATAACCACATGAATAAATTATCTTAATTTTCAGACAGTTAGATGAACACTCAGGCCTACTTCATTCAGGGTATTGGTAAACATAATTCAGTTGATGCACTGAAGTAGCGTTTTTCTATTATTTTTGAACGGAAATTTTCATTCATTAGTGAATGTACGAAAACGTAGAAATGCCACTATACCTATTTAGTCTCTGAATTTTTTTCTGACTCCACTTTTTTCTGCATATACACGGCGGAAAATCACGAACACGTATTCCTATGCATGAAAAATGAATAAATACGCTTCGGCAAGAAATTCGCACCCGTGATTTTTTGCCGTGTTCACTCTGTAAATACTTACACATTTACAAAAGGAGTGAATTCAGAGAAGAAGTCTGATTTCAGTCGAAAAGTTTGAATTCATAGATAAAAGGAAATACATACTGTAGTTTCCTTTCTACGCTGTCGTACTTTCGTATAAATGTTATCAATTTGAACATGTATCGCATTTTTTCATTTCATCACAGATAGTATAGTCGCTTTCAAGAAAGCTTTTTCACGATTGACAGAAAATTTCGTGAAATATGCGACTATGGTATCCAAAACGAGAAATTGAATCATCAGATAATAGGCGAGTGGACTTAATCTGAATCGAATGGGCCATGGTTTTAGTCACCATTTTTGATTTTAATAACTGAAATGAGATTTAGTCCTATTTCCTTATCATCCTGTTTATTCCAAAAAAGTGCTTTTTTCGTCTTTCATTGTTCTCCACAAATCATGAGACTAGTTCTTCCCAATAGTCAGCTCAAGTGGAGTTCTAGAGAAAAAATTCAAGAAATGCAAGACTTTCGAAAAAAAATTGAATTTTAGTTCCAATTGCCAATTGAGGAGAAATCACGAAAACGTCCCGAGATGAGGTTCCAGTGTATATGACTGACTTTTGATCACAAAAAAATTTCTCGAGTTCTGGCAGCATTGGAAATGTAGACCTTAGTGTAATGGCTCCACTTTACACCCTGTGTAAGTTTTGTTCTGCGGACTTTTTCAGAGTGTTCTAGCTCTCTTTGAAGCCGATGAAACATCACATCTGATATCGAAAACCGCATGAAGATCGGTCAATTTTTTAAAAAAATACAGGTCTTCGAAATAGAGTCAAATCATTAGTAGTCCATTTAGTGTGTTGAGAACTGTATTTCAAGTTTCAACTCTTAAATTCGTGAATTTTTTGAAGGCAAAAACATGTATTGGTATGTATATACGTATGGGTTGGTATATGACCCGATATACTTGTGCTTTTGTGAGGTATTCTGTGGTCGTGGCAAAGCCGAACACTGTTGAGTCGTTTTAGGTATTTGATATATTACTATGCAGCATTTTCCACAAAACCACCACTATGGCCAGCATGAAGTACAAGGAATCTTTTCCCATCATAACCTTCTGGTTTACGAACACTTTTTTGTACTTTGATCTTGCCATGATCTGATTCTCTTTCGCAAATATCCAAGTTTCATCTAAGAAGACGATTTGTCTAGGGTAACTAGAATTGCGATTTTCATAAAACTTTCTGAAAAACTCTGCTTTCATTATAGATATGTCCGTCTTCTCAACCAATCACCGTCTGTTGTCTTCTTTTTTATATTTGAATTCTACATTTGTGAGAAGTTTGCTCAATGTGCCTATACTTGCATCATGAATATGTTTAGTTCTGAGTTCTTCTTTCAAAATTCTAAGAGTGATGTGTTTTTCTGTAAAATAGTCAGTTGAAGGTAGTCAAGAAGTATCAAATGAAATCACTTACTTTCTGCATACATAGTATATAAATCACATTGCGTAGTTCCATTTTCAAATTATCATCCAGATCTACTGTCTTGGGTTTTTCTTTAGTCCTAGATTTCCCTGGCGTACTCAAACTTTCGTTTCTCTCAGAACGTACTTTAATACTCGAAACTGTCCGCAGACACATCATGATGATATTCTTGAAGTAAGCTCTGAATATTTTCATTATTGATCAGAAAGAATTATGATTTTCCTATTGTATGAAAGTGAACGGGATTAAAGGACTATTATTATCTTTCTCTCTTGTGAAATATTGTAGCAAATTCGATACAAGACTTCGTGCTTGCGAATTCAAACGTCTTCCTGGCATGTTGAATATTTGACAATGACCACGCAAAACGATGGCATTTCACCAAACGTCATGATAGACATTTGCTCCTCTATATGCAAGTCTGAAGAGGATAGCCAGTTGCGCGTAGGTCTATGCTAATTTCTGTCACACGCAACGAAATATTATACAGACTGTAGTAATCATATTAATCCACACTAGAAGAAATTTGAAGCGGTGAACGTGTCAACATCGCGTGCACGACTTGTGGGCGTGGTTTTGTGCTTTCTCAGTGCTTAGCACAATGTTGTCAAGTCTCCAACATTTACATGATATTTTGAAGTATTTGAAATATTTGGACATGCTGGTTGCTTGGAAGAGTCAAGAATGAACTATAATATCATGGATTCCTATTATGTTTTATTGAACGACAACACTCTTTCATCTTTTTGATAACTTCTTCATAATTGGTGACTTGACAACCCTGCTTCGTGAGTAGAAATGGAAGATTATCTGACCAATAACGAAACTACATAAAAGCTGACGTCACCATTCATTCGACGTATCGCCAAATTCATTTATTTACATAAAAAAGTGTGAGAAGTATTGCAAAAATTGATTTAGGTCCCTATATATAACGACACAGTGGAGTAATTGAATGCCAATAATTCGTTATAAGTGCACTCGCCCATTTTCAAGTTGCTAAAGCAGTCACCATTCACCTGTGGAATCCTCTACACCACCCACCTACTATAAAGGCACTTATATTCTGTATCCGCAATTAGAATACGAAAATGCCACAGTAAACAATATGATCGCTTCGAAAATACATTTGGCACGACTTGAGAAGATAATTGAGCGGATTTATTTTTCAGAACTGGACCTAACAGAATCCAAGATGACGGGATTGACGATTATGATCCACATCTTCATAGAGAAGTTGAAAGTCCAACCACGTAAGGCTATTTTTCAACTCATTAATGAAAAATAATCAATCACCTTTGAAGTGTCACTTATTAATGAATACTCAATTCTATTATTGAATCTTCCTCTCAGATCTTTGGACAGAAACGTGAATAACACTCGGACTAAAAGTAGTACAAGAGAAAGAAATCATATCTATTTCGAATGCAGTTATTTTGTCTACAGAAAATATTTACAAACAATGCGTACCAAACCATAACACTGTTATACGGGTTTCCAAACTTAAGTCAGCACTATCAATCCCTAACTTGGTTTTTATTGAAGCAACAATGTCCAGTTAAATGGGCACACTATAGTATTAAATCGAACATCGCTTTCACAAGTTAAGTCAAGAGGAATTTTTTTCAAAAGGGACATCCATTATACAATATCCTCAATCGATAGGAAATTCGATTCTGAACAAATATTTCTCATCATATTTTATTCTGAATCGAAAAATGATAAGCTTTCAATGATTTTTCGAATTCGTTAAAGTGATTGTTAGTCGAGTTATTATCTGTATTTGTATCATTCGTAACTCGTATATTTGCCTCAAAATAATGTGAAACGAAATCGATATTGATCGCACATCCAATACTGATTTGTTATCGTGTAACATCGTTCATCAGTGTTAACACAGGTGTTAAATTTCCTCCGATGAGCGGCGCAAAAGTAATTACAAACTCATGGCTCCTGAAAGTCTCACACCTACATCTATCAGCTGTCATGACTCCTCTTTCCGAAATATTAGTATCTTCCATAAGAATACTGTTACAGACAAAATTTCAAGAACTAAACGTGAGGAATAGATGTTGCTTGATTAAACAATTAGAAATTACAAGTTGTAACAATTTTGTTGGTCACTCTGTAGGTTGTTTTGAAGTTTTAAGTATCGTGTTTTAAGATTCCATATAAATTTCAAGAAATCGAAATCGAATTGATAAAGTATAACTATATCGGTAGATATATTGAGTGGATCAATTATTTTGCCGATGAAAGTATATTCTTTCACCTATCCATTCACCTAAAAATGATATGAAGGTGGTCAGAAATTATCTCATTATGGCTCGATTACCAGTTTTTGAAGAGAATTGCTCTTAGTTATGAGTTAACGAACATAATAACTACAATATCATGAGATCATTTCTCAATATTTCAGAAATGCAGAAACGCTTATTCACTTGCTCAAAGGTTGCCTGGGGACTGGAATCTTAGCCCTGCCAGAAGCTTTCAAGTATTCCGGGATGGCGAACGGAATTGTATCCACGTTCCTCATAGGACTCCTTTGCACCTATTGCCTTCATGTTTTGGTAAGTGTATAATCAAAAACAAAATAGAAATGATAATTATACTTACATAAGATTTCCTCCTATCTTCGGTGATTTCCTCCTATCTACGGTATAAATCATTATAGCTCTTTGGAAAACTTGGTCAGATAAACTTATAATGAGATTTCGATGAGAAATCAATGAAGGGCCATTCCCTTCATGTTAGTGTGGGGGTCCCTAGGGTCCCTATATTTAGGTGTACCCACTAAAAATTCCACCACCTCCCAAGGCTCGTCTGGCCAGAGTTTCCGAAGACACTCAGGCCTGTTAGTCCATTGCAACTCACTTCGACTATGCCATTATTGATTTCACCATATACGACCCATGGTTCTTATATGACGCCCACTTCAAATACCATCATCAGAATAACTATGGCACTGCTGCTCACAGTATCAGAGGTTCCTGAAGACTATTCTTCTAGGTACTTAACTTGTCCATGAAGAAGGCCAAAATAGTCCGTTCTTCTACACGAGCTCTGATACTCAGAGTACGAATAAAATAAATAAGTACTGATAGCACATCGATAACATTTTTAGTGTGCTCATATTAGCATTTAGGTTCTAATGGAATTATGAAAATGAATCAGATGGCCTGCTAGAACTGAGAACTGACATACTGGGTCCTTGACATATTAAGTAACCCAGGTTTCAATTAGCTCTCTCCTAAAATAAATGAAATATGCTTCTGGTACATGTAACTTGGACGACCAGTATAAATATCACTAGGTCGATGTTTGACGGTGATTTGTATCCATCAGCTCAATGAGAATTGATATTGTTATCTGTTACCAATGAGCCTTATTATGTAACACATTTATTGACCTCCATATTATGGAGATCGATTCAATGATCCATTGATTCAGTTCTTATTCAGTAATTCAATGAGGGAATTTAATGAATGATGTTACGAGCGAATCATTCGACAAATATTTGTATTGAATGTGGATAATACACATATACACTGTGTCCAAGATGAGGAGGGCAAGTATGGGTAACTACAAGAGATACAGATTTTGTTTATTGGGAGAAAAATTGCGCTATTTAAGTGCCAATGGAATTGCTCTCGATGATTCTCTACCTATATGATTTTTCGTATTTGAATTATCTTCAAAGAATCCAAAATTCTGGATTTTCCATTTTAAGTTTTTTCGGCGCTGATAATGAAGTAATGACAAAACTCAAACAGAAATTCATGGCAACTTCTGATGATCATCGACTTAATTTTTCCAAACGCGGCCCTGATATCTTGATATCAGATTCACAAGAATTCAAAGACAACTTGTGTTATCTTAAGTGATATCACGATGTTCTTGCTATTCAGAACAAAAAATACAGGCTTGATTTTGAATTTTGGTGGCATTCGAAATATGTGAGAAAAATAGATTCTCAACCAACTGTTTCCGCAGTTATTCAAAGTGGTACCTATTTTTTTTTTGTTCACTATATCAACTGTATGAGTAGGTACTTCCATATGAACTCAACTTCATTGAATGCAACTGCACACTCTTGCATAAATATTATATTTAACAAGAATCAATGAGGGTGAGCCGCTTAATTAAATAATAACACTTAATTTCCTTTCTCAATTAAATGCAATAAAAGTCATACGTATACCTCGCACTCCTCAAAATTAAAAATTGAATCATCACGAAGTTATTACCTACACCATCTGGAGTCAAAATATTTCTTCACCTAAAGAAAATTTTCATTGAGTATTTGTTTATTTATACGATCTACGCATCATTGCATTGCGTTCAGTATTTTCCTACCCACCTTTTCCTCACTCTTTCATTAATTGGAGTCACAGGCATGTTTTTTGGAAACCTTGTTACAGGGAGTCCTATAGGACCACGTCTTTTTTGTCAGGAATGTATCAATGTTATAAATATGGATTAAATACCACCAGTATCCTTCATACAATTTTTCTTCCTAAGATCCTCAGTAACTATAAGTTGCGGACCCTTGTAGTTACAAAATCATTTGACAAGGAAGGGTATTCGACCTATATCATATTAATTTTGTTGTTATGAAAACTGAGAAAAAATAGTAGATATAGAATAGGGAATATATAGGCACTTCAACTGATTGAAAAGATGAATTCATTCCTATGTTTTTCCATATATGTCAAACCGTATACCATTGAATGTACTCGCCTTTACATTCATGAAATGGAGATAATTTTTTTATTGTTATTCCTGACTTCAACATACTGGTATGACGTTCATACATACCAGTAAGCATCATCACAAGTCTCAGTGAGTCGTAGAGGTCCGCTGGTGAAACGGTTTACCATTGTTTTTCTAATTATTTGTACATTGAAAAAGAATCAAAATGGATACACAATCAATATTTCATATGAAGGTATTGACTTCAATGAAAAAAAAAAACATATATCTTGATAACAAATGTTCGGCTCAAAAGTTGAACTTTAGCTTCTAGGAACTAAAAAGGACGTACTGGACGTCATCAAGAATAAACAACATTGTTACGGTTGGTTATTTGGGTTGAGACGCATACCTGATTTGTTTCCGATTTCAGCAGATGTGGCAATTCATACCCATGCTGGAGATATAAATACACCTTTATTATAGTTTAGTATTGAAATTATAAACATCTCAGTTGAATATTTTTGTTTTGATCAGGAAAGCCTTCAAGATTAAAATACTTGCTTGATCTGTATATCATTCGTTATTCTCGGGATGGATAACTTGTTTTTGAATAATCACGGCAAGCAATAGTGTTTTGTCTCAAACAACGATATTGTTTAGCTTCATTTGATTATGAAGTCAAACACAGTGTACCTAGTATGGAATTGGAGAGGAAAAACTAATCACTATCATCATTGTTGATATGCTCACTAACCTAACATTTTCCACGTCTTGTTCCTATAGCTGGCACTGGCGCGGTATTTGCCATTAGAGCACCTGGTCCATACACAAATATGTCACTCTGTATATTGAAACTATAATTCGAACATCCTACAAAACCTAACCTGCTGTTAATGCAGGTAGAATATTCTCACCACATGAATTATTTGCGAGATTATTTGTCAATATTTGTTGCATTGCATACATATGGCACGGCATTGGTGGTTACTTCACATGTTTATTTGAGTTAATTGTTTCGGTTGCAAAAAAATAGCATGTTTCATTCGGATCAAAAGTGACTTTGTTTGACTCGCAAATTTTGCTTTCGCTCGGCTTCGCTAAACGCTTCGTCTCGCAAATGCAAAATTCGCTTGTCAAAGGAAGTCTCACTTTTGATCCTAATAAAACAATCTACTATTTCCGTGTAGGAGTTGATTTATCGAAGAAAAACATTTTTCATTTTGGGACTTTGAGGGCCCGTAACTTGGTAACAAAGGATTTTAAAATGTACCACAAGTGATATTTTGGTCACATCTTCATATATTCCCGAGAAGAAAGGAGGAGGTCCTAGTACACCATGTTTATGGCACGTTTCATTTGATATTTTCAGGTTAGAGCACAATATGTAATTTGTAAAAAGCTGAAAGTGGCACTGCTGACATATCCGGAATCGATGAAGATTGCTTGTGAGATCGGTCCAACGTGTCTTAGGAGATTCGCACCGTATGCACCGTAAGTATTATAATAGTAGGATTCCACATGGTCATCAATGGTTTCTACAGGGTGTATGTAAATAACGCCGAAAAATTTCAAGGGATGATTCCTTGTGATATTCTAGCAAATAAAGTTCGTATGAAGATGTGTCCTAACTTACTCCGTTTTTTGAGATACAGGATGTTGAAGTTATAAGTATTAATTGTTTTCATTCATAACCCTCCTGTATAAGCTTTCATGGTGCCAGAATTCAGTATGGTTGGAGACTGAGAAAGCTCCAAAATTTCGAACTGATTGTAATTGTTGTTATTGAGTAATCTCAATGGAAGTCTTGAAAACACCTACATTAAATTTGGAGTCAGATCGAATTTTTATTGTTTCCTCTGAAACTAAGCTAGATACAAAAATCACACAGAAGATAAAAAAGTTGTGATTCAAATAGTTCAATCGAAAAAAAATATGAAACTCAGAAAAACCGGTGGCGTTCAATGACATTCACCTAAATATCGATGAATTTACCCACTGGGACACCACTGGAAATATTATTCCGAATCTAATTGCACCAGAAGAAGCTCCATATTACTATCAACAAAACCACAACGTTTAATTGAAATTGATGGAAAGACAATTGATAGTATTGAATAAAAAAATTATCTTTCATGGAAATGTAAATACCCTGTATTTCGAAAACGAAGCAAATTAGGATTAAAATATCACCAGAATGAATCACCCCTTGAATTTTTTCGGTGTTTTTTGTATACACCCTGTATACAACGAAGAGTTGACGAAGTTTGTTACAACACTTTTGGTTGATTAAGATGAGAAAATGAATCGTATCCTTGGATCTGAAAATCATTTGCGTAATTTTTGAATAAATATTGCTAAACTCTTGAGATCTTGAGGCATGTAGTAGTAATTCAGGTACTCTGTCTTTATAAATTATGAGATATTGATTCATTCAGATTTTTTGATATTCTTTGCCTTCATTTCTATAGATAAAAATATTGGTATCATTTCAATGTATGTATAGTAAGGAAAAATCAAATGATTTGCCTCAAAATGCCACTGCATTTGGGAATTTCACTATTAGAGACCCTGAAGAAAGAATTGATTGTCCGTGGATTCTTAAAAATGTTTGAAAAAAATAATATAGGCATATTATTGGTGATTCTAGGATCAAATCTCATCCCATTTTCAACTAAAATAGAGTGCAATCCTCGGATTTCTGTATTGATACTGTCATGTAGGTATGTATCTATGACGACCTTTTCAAAATACCCCTTCAGGGTACTCACTCCTTACTCCATAGACTCAATTTACTTACTTGATTGGTTTTGAGAGGGTTGTTGTTATATTGTGGAACAGAGAAATAAAAAGAGTATTGAAAAAAGAAGAAGCAACATGTTTATTGAATAAAATGATTATATCAGTACTTACAATTTGGATATCAGATATAAGAATCAATGTATTTTGCGTTCAATCTGAGTTCATACAGGTTATGGAAATATTAGTTGTGATAGGAAAATTTAGTTCCTGTCACGGTAAAATATCCCATTGAGTGAAGCGTTCCGTCAAAATAAAAATGCACTATCAGTTTCATCAAAAACTCTATTTTTCATTATTCCAGATTTTTTGGGATTTTCTCTCCTCGTTTCTATTGAATAAAAATATGAATATTATTTCAATATACGTGTAGTAAGGACAAATCAGATGATTCGCTCCAAACTGTCACTGCGGTTCAAGAATTTTCCTATAAGAGAGCCTGAAAGAAAAATTCACTAGCTTGTCAGTGACAATATGTATTGAAAATGGTTTGGAGAAGAGAAATGGAGGACTAGAGAAAAATATCAAAATTTCACTTAGCTTTGGACGTTTCGTGAACGAATCTGCTTCCGTTTTCAACATAAAAATGGATAAGATGTCAATATTACAGGAGTAGATGTTTCTTGAATTCTTTTGTGAATTTTTCAATCCTATTAATCAGCTTCAAGTTATTTGGTACTGAATAGTGATGGAGGTATCAATCCACTGTGATAGATGGATTTTTAACCAATATCTGATTTAATTTTTAATATTTGAATGCTTGTCACAATATTACATCGAATGAATGAATGATGATAAGTTGAATTTATATAGTGAATCTTTATCTTATATCTCTCTTCTTCTGTAAAGGTTTTTAGTAGGTTCCAAATAATTTAGTCTGTATATACCATGGACGTATTTATACGTCCATGGTATATACATTTGGATATTTTATTTTGAATAGTTTTGAGAGGCTTCATAATTGATAGGTATAGTTTTGTTGATCTCCATACAGAAATCAAATATTCAAGTTCAGAATAGATCAGGGAGAAGTATATAGATTTGAAACATTTCATAGGAACTTGATTCCGTATAACCTAAATGTATACCTATTATTGGAGATGTTTTTTTCTAAGTATTCCAATAATATGTTTTGACCATGACTTCTCTCTTGCGGACATCTTGTATATCCATGGAAATTTTCTATTGTAAACTTTCAAATATTGGCCAGACAAGAAGGAGCCGGTTTTGAGCAAATTACCTCGGCAAGAATGTTGCTCTATTTTAGCGTAATACGCCATAGTTATAATTTTTTATTCGTCCTCCTATTGAAAATTTGAAATGGCCTATACCGTACTTTGCTCGGAACCGTTTCACAGGTAGTTAGGTGTATCTGGATGTACCCAAGCACAACTGAACACTTGCGATAAGTGTGTATACAAATCTCAGCATAGATTCCAGGAAGATTTTAAACTCAATGTACTTTTTTTTCCATTCATTCTACTAACTACAGTCGTCTTTCATTTACGACAAATAGTACCAGCGTTTATAATTATTACCATTGTTACCAACTGTCCCTCCGTTTGCCATGATTGGCGCAGTGGAAGAGCGCCAGTCTAACGACCGCGAGGTCGTGGGTTCGATTCCCAGCCAGAACAAGGAACTTTTTTCAATATTTCATTTACGAATCAAATATTGTGAAGTTTCGGAGCATCGGCTGGGGATAGTACTGCACGATTCGCTGTTGCGTTCCAATCAACAGTGCTGCTCCTAAAGTAAATTTGAAATTTAACTGAAAGTAGTTTGACATAGACATATTAGAGTTAGTGAACAAATTCCTAAAGTCCTAATTGAAGAAAACTGAAATTAACGTTTCTTTTCTGCTGTGTTTAATGAAATCGCTTTGCTTTTGACATGTTTTGCATAAGCCTGAATCTTTTTTACCTATCATACATAACTGTGGTTGAAAAGGGTGTACATTATGAGTAATTAAATACATTTGACTTGCCACTGCCAGGAACGAAGTTGTTTTATTGCTCATAAATTGTCGTTTGCATCCTGAAAAGTTAGTGGAAATTAATGAGTTTTCCTGTCTTCACCAATAAATACTGATTTTTCTTCTCCTTTTCCAATAGACATATTCATCAATTGTCAATTTCTATTTCAGAGCCATAACGAACTTTTTCCTCATTTTCTACCAACTCGGAATATGCTGTGTATATATAGTCTTCGTAGGAAAGAACATCAAAGCCGTAGCTGACGAGTACACCACCAACGATATTTCGCTCACCTTGTACATCCTGATGTTCTTCGTACCGTTCGTCGCCATCATCTGCATCAAGAATCTGAAACTTTTGGCGCCCTTCTCCATATTGGCCAACCTCATCACTCTGGTGACCTTCGGAGTCGTGGGCTACTACGTATGCCAGAACTTGCCGCCATTTTCGAGTCTGCCATCTTTCGGGACTCTGTTCAATTATCCGCTGTATTTCGGTACGACTTTGTTCTCGCTTCAAGCTGTGGGAGTGGTAAGATACCTGCTAATTCGAATCGTTATTTTGAACAGAATAAATGTGTGCTTAGTACCAACCCAATAAACACACTCACGTCGTGATGAAGAAGTAAAATTACCACAACGGTCGGTTGAAATAACGTTTACTGGAAACTTTAAATCAACGCAAAAATGTCGCTGACGTCCACGTTGTTTTCAACAAGTACACAAACGTCTTTTCAACATTGTTTTCAACTACTAACTTCAACGTTAATAACCTTTTGAAACCGGTGAAGAGAGCCCTGTTTTCAACCAAATTTTTCACTAGGAATGAGCGTGACATATCAACGTTTTGTTACTGCTGTTAAAATAGGATTTTTCTACGTTCAATCGTCGAATTTTCGGTTTTTCGAACGTTTCTTCAACGTGTTAGCCAGAATATATCTCGTTATTTTTTGACTACAACTATTTTATCAATATTTTCATAAAAATTATTTATAATCATTATTATAGTTATTACTAACCTGATATGTTGTCCATGAATTTCCTTTCCTTAGCAGTTTAGTGAGATGCCTGTCTCTACGTATCCCATATTCAAATATGATCGACTACTCGTATTTGTAACTAAACTCTTGGTGTGAGCATCGGCGAGATGGAAATGAAATGAATACAAGTTGTATAATGACGATTACCTAACGTTGTTAGGAAGGGATAATACTTACATTCCTTATTTGGGTGTGCAGTCAAACTAGAACAAAGTAAACATTTGTTTCTGTTCGAGCTCTCGAGTCTTGATTGGTTCTTCATCAGGAACTCAATAAAACATTAAAATTGATATGAAAAATGAATCGTTATTATCAAAGCTGGCTTTTGTCGAATGGGGAATAATACATATGTAAAATATCATTCACAATATAAATACATCACCATTTTTGAAGACTAATAAACAATTGTTACATTATACTCACATTTTGTCGACCAAACTTGCAAAGCATCATAAACAATCGTTACATTATACTCACATTTTGTCGACCAAACTTGCAAAGCATCTCCCTTATGAATGAAGCCACCTAGGACTTTATAGAACCCTTGGAAATTAATTGCTTAATCTGCTCTTAGGTTATAGCTCTGGAGAACAACATGGCCACACCTAAACAGTTCAGAGGAGCATTCGGTGTTTTGAATATTGGAATGACCCTAGTGACAATCATCTACGTAGGAATGGCAATGATGGGTTATTGGAAGTATGGAGATAAGATCGAGTCTAGTATCACCCTGAATTTTCCTCCAGGAGATGTGTGAGTTCCAACGAGATAATTCGATATTGTTAGATCGCTGTGTTCTGAGCCAAATGGTATTGAATTTTGGAAATCTGAAGTCCGAAGATGATTCGGTTCCAAAATACAATTATTTTTTTTTATTTCGGAAAATCGCCTAACATTTATTGTTGCCATCTCAATTGAGTGTATTCTGAACCTCTCATAGTTGATCAAGTATTACCAAGTCAGTTGGTTTTTTTACACAAAATCTTGCACGTCATTCTTTTGATTGTGTCCAACTTTCTCAACATTAGAAACCTTCGTTGCATAGTTTTGGACTTTTTATTCATCAATGCTGTTATTCTCTCAATAGACTAAGAGATAATATGTACTAGATTTGTGTGCAAAAAATCATCGAACTTGTCCCCTAGTATTTCTTCATCGATTGTGATAGGTCCAAGAAATACCTCAATGAAATTTCAATAAACAAACAAACAATTGAGGAATCATTTCGTAATAACTGATGATGGACATATAATATATGTCCGAGACATTTACCACCTGATGTGATTTTTCACAGCTTTCAAGAAGTTCTAGGATATCTCAGAACATTTTCGACCTCCGAAAAGGCTCCTAATTCAGAAATTTTCGAGAAAATTCATGAAATTATCATAAGTTATATCACGATGTTCAAAATTTTCGAAATGATTCTGTCACTGCTCACGAGATTGTGTTGCTGAGCAACACCACGAAGACAGAATTATGAGAAGATATGCAGAACAGTATTTTGCTAGACTATTTAACGTTAACGAAGCAGGAAAAGCATTTATTATAAATGAGTGACTCGTTCTGACAAGTACAGCCATAACTATTTTATGCCAAACTCACAGACTTTGCTTCGCTACCCAAATTTTTGTTTACATCATTGAAAACATCAACGCTGAAAGACCAATCAGAATTGAAAGACAGCTAAAGTTTTCGCGATAAGCACACGTTGTCTCCGGCTTGTGATTGGTCAGATTATGTGATCAGTAAAATAGTCACAGTTACTATAGCTCAACGATTTTTATTTCTCAAGATTCATCATTTTGAATTCACGTTGGCTTTATCCGAGAGGATCGATGGTAGTTTTGGCTGGTTAATTCTCTGAAACTACCAATTGAAATCTTCTCCATTTCTTAGAGAAGATATTGATTATTCTCATGATTCCAGGTTAGCCAAGGTGATAAGGATCATGTACTCGATTGCTATCTACATTTCCTATGGGCTTCAAGGATACGTTCCAGTGCAGATTATCTGGTCCAATTACATGGCCAAGAGTTTAGATAACAGCAGTAGAAAAAGTCTGTACGAGTATATGCTTCGTATTGGCTGCGTTGTTTTGACATGTGAGTACTAATCGAAATGTCGTGAAGTTATTCTACATATTATAATAGTTTTCATTCATATATAGATATATCAAGCTGAATCGATGAAATTGTATAATTCCCTATTGGGATCAAAGTAAATTCGATTAACGTAGAGGGTATCCTCCTATATGCAAAAATTGAGGTTACCTTCATGAATCGATTGTCTGCTCACTGAGTCACTGATGAGGCATTGTAAGCTGAAACAGTCTATTTCGCATCAGCTGACAATCACAAAATTCCCATATAGATTCTCTTTTACCCGAAGGAAGAAGCCAGAGGGACTGGGTCCTCTAACACTTCAAGGGACTATCATCTGTCTGTCGGGGAAAGTTGAATACTTCGGGGCAAATCTAGACTCGAAACTTCCCTGGATCCAACAACTGGCAACATAGAAGATAGTCGAGGCAACACTAATGATTGCCAGACGGGCACTCGGAAGAACATATGATGCATTGGACATAAAACACTGTGATGAAACCCATGATCACTTACGCATCTTTGATATGGTGGACGAAGATAAACCAAAGAATAGCTGCGGCTGAGCTGAGCAAATGACAAAGACTTGCATGCCTTGGCATAACAGGAGCTATGAAAACAACACCAACAGCAGTCATGGAAGTACAACTAAACCTGCCTCCGATTGACAAAGTAATCATGGAAGAGGCTAGAATGGGACATCTAAGGCTACAAAGCACGAGTGATAGATCGGGACACAACAAAATAAAGGGAATAGTGAGAGGTGGGAGGTAACATTCTTAGAATGAAACCAACGGACCACACTACTCCATGCAATGTACTGCTTCAACATGAACTCCAAGGCGATCATGCAAGATCGAAGGGAATGGACTGACGACAGCATTAATGACAAACCTGGAGAGAATAAGATCTGGTACACAGACGGATCCGAGACCAAGGTAGGCTCTGGTGCTGGAATCCACAGTGAAGAGAGGAACTTCCAACTGAGCATCCCACTGGGAACAAACACTTCCGTGTTTCAAGCGAAAATGTAGGCAATCTTGCAATGGGCAAGAACAAACAACATTAGGGAAATGCAATGCACAGATCAAAATATGCAGCGATAGCCAGGCGTCACTGAAAGCTCTTATGGACCCTAAAGTGACATCCAGACTGGTACGGGAATGCAGAGAATAAATTAGTGCCCTGTCAGAACATAACAAAATAACCCTGTCATGGGTTCCAGGACACTGCGGCATCTTAGGGAATGAAAAAGCTGATGAACTGGCAAAAGCTGGTCATCAACTCCACACATTGGCACAGAACCCATACTTGGGGTTATAAAAACAGCTACCCGAGGCTGCATATGGGAATGGATCAATCAAAAACGAAGAGAGCGCTGAATGATTGAAGCCTATTACATGCATCACGGGAAAACATTCATCAAAGAACCGTCGAAACATAAAACTGAAGAACTACTCGAGATGAGAAGGAATCAAGTCAGTCCAACGAGAGGACACCTGAACAAAATGGGGTTGTGAACTGGAAAACTTTCTGCGACAGAAACGGCCAAACACTCATTGATAGAATGCGAGGTACTGGATTGCAAAAGACACAAAATATTTGGGCAGCCCAGTCTAACTCCTGAAAATATAAGCAGCCAAGCGGTAAAGAATCTGTACATACTAGTGCAAGGGATAAGAGCTACGGAATGGGTGCTGTAGAACCAAACTGGAATGCACAAAAATTCCAGGAGGCTGAGGTGTAGCTAGTGACAGGACCAGCATCTAAGAAAGAAAAAATATTTTCTCATTCTTGAGATTCTAGGTTCATCATATAAATAACTATCGTTTTCTTCCAGTTTTGCTCGCCATAACGGTTCCCCTGCTCGGCCTCTTCATCTCACTGGTAGGAGCATTCTGCCTCTCCGCGCTAGGCATCGCCTTTCCCGCCATCATCGAGCTGTGCGCCTATTGGCCAGACAGACTTGGACCCGGCCGTTGGATCCTCTGGAAGGACATCGGCCTCATCATAGTAGGCATCGTCGGACTGTGCGCGGGTAGCTACAGCTGCATCTACGAGATCGTGAGGTCGCTGGCTTCGGGGCAGACGTGAAATCGACACATATCGCCCTGTATATATAGAGTACAGGTGGATGGGTGGATGCAGGAAAGATACGAGTCCATATTTGCTCTGAATCTGAGTGGGTGAATACATCGTACTACGAATGAGCAGCTTTACAGAGTGGGCAAAATTGGACGTTTTCACGGGGTATCTCAATAACTAAGGGACTTAGCTATTGAGAAACCTAAAATGGCGCAATTGAAATTTTGATATCTTCATTCGTTTTAGAGATACAGGGAGGAATTGAAGAATTGCTGATTTCGTTTTCATGATGTCAAAATTCCAATTGAACCATTTTACGTATTTCTGAAATTGAACCCGAAACATGTATATTGGTTTTTCGATAATTCTCTCAGTAGCCTGTGAAAACTCCCAATTTTGTTCACCCATTTGTCCCCATTTCCATTCAATTTGAAAAGACGCAAGTCCTGGTTATGTACAATGTTTGCCAGCAGAACTTTTGGGAGTGCAAGTGCTTCATTACCAAATATAAATGACTCCTTTTCAATTTTGGACATAATTGTATCGTTCCTGCATCTACCCATTCAATAATTATAGTGCCACTACTCTGAGTAATTTTGATATAGGTTTCGAGAGAAGTAGTATTTCATAGTCTCTCCCATCAGTTCTCATATTATATATACTGAACATCAGCAATATATTTATTTAAACATTAGATAAAAAGGAGATGTAACTTTCTCCTCTTGCGAATCATGTGATGGAAGGAAAACTAGAGGCACTTCATTCCAGAGAAATGTACAAAAAAAATGTTGTGGTTGTTGACAATTGGTGAGACTTTCATGAAATAAAATGTTGAGAATTGAAAATGGTCTTCATTTCATTACCTCTAGAGAAGTGATAAAAATCAAAAAGTATTGTATATCAAGATGCCAACATCGCAAAAGTAATTGACACTCGTAATGCATCCGACTCGATGAAAGCCAACGCTCGAGTTCGGCTGTTTATTATGCATTTACAATGCTATTCGTAAGAAGAGATACAAGATTTCTTAACTACCCAAGATTTATACTTTGGGGAGAAATACACCAGAGTCCAATTGATTGAAGTTTTGGAAGTCAAAGAGATCAAAGAAGTATATGTCATAGACGAAATTGACAAACAAAATCATCTTACGGTTCTCAGATTGCCCCCATATTTTTGTATTTTCAATCCTATTGAATCCGTAGAAGAAACATATTCCGAAATTTCGACCCTAAAGTTATATCTTCAATAACCACAGAAGTGGAAAATGCCGATTGGCATGAAAAAGTTAATGCAGTTTTGAAATTCGAAGAATATTAGATATATAAGTATCGGTGCAACCCATCTGAACGGTCAGCATCGATTCATTATCAATTTGGCAGATAATAGGCGCTCAACTAATTTGAGGTTAAGGTTAAGGTCAAGCAAGTTAATAATGTTGGGAAATTAGATGTATATGAAAGTTTAGAGATATTCAGGAATAGTAATAGATTATTGAATAACGATAATGGACCTACCCCATTAAGCTCTCTGTATAGTTTAATGATATAAAACCAAGGTTAACATGTGAACTCAACCATGACTAACATTAACTTGGCAGTTATTGTCTTTCACGGTTGGGTAGACATATACCTATAGTATATAAGTAGCACACTAGGATAGAATATTTGGTTTCAATATTTTAGAACATCAACAATAACAATCTTCTCCTGAAGATGCTAACATAGTTAGCGAATCACGTGTAGAGGTATGAAAAATCGGTTTGGTTAGTGGTAACGCAGTGTGTAGTGTATTATCGTGCCAAAGGTTCCAGTCTTCGATATATAGGTTATTTCTGCTTCAATTCAGGATCTGCCTGGTTATTTTTGCAATTATTCAGGCAGGAACGCCTTCAAATGAGTCAATTTTGATAATTCAGACCAGTACGTGGGTATTTTTGCCTCCACCCAGTCCGAAGTTGTTGTTTTGGCTGCACTGCGGATTCGGTTTCCTGTTTGGTGAGAGGATGTCGGCTTTCTCGTTTCTCTTCATCCCCTGGTATCTGGGTACCCATAGCAGAGTAACTCTGTTGCTAGGTCCCAGGTTCTCCAGGGATTCAATACAGTTCTATTGAAGGTTTAAATTCATCATGCTGGAACTCTGTGCTTCAAGGGCAGCTTGACTGTCTGAAAGATTGCAGCATACTCCAGATCGGACAGCTGATGATGATTTGACAAAGTATCGTTCATGGAAGTAGACTATCAGCAAACGATTTTGAATCTGAACTGGCGAGACTGAGAATGTTAGCCCTCATTTTGACCAATGTCGATCCATTGTCGATCTAAATGAAAACCTAGTAGGCGACCTAGTGCGAGGAGGTATCCTGCCTACTAACTACCTAACTAGGTTGTCATCTAGAACGGTAATGGTCCATCTAAATAGAAACCTAGTAGGCGACCTAGTACGCGAGGAGGTACAATATTGTCTGTTCAGTGAATCAGAACGACAATGTTTCCACAAACTATCAAGGTTTATACATCTCAGTTCAGATTAAAGATGTCCAGACCATGTTTCGACATCACTTCAAATGTCATTCAGTAATGTATGACATCCGCAATAAAATGGTCCATAGCTCAAAAATCCTCCTAAGAAATACATGAAATAAATTCAAGCTGTGAGCTGCGACGACCAAAATGAACCCCAACCAGTAAGACTTGATATTCTCGCTCTATGGTTCTTACTATCAGCATACGAGAGAATTGCTGATCCATTAATTTTCAGAAAAGAACAAGATGACGAGGATTATGATCCTCATCTACACCGCGAACTTGAAGATCCCTCTACGTAAGTACCTATTTTGATATCAATTCGTGTTAGGTATAGTATATAGTAACGGAAGTATTCCCAAAAGCTTATAATCTCCAGAATTTCTATAATACCCAATACCTACCTCCTCTTTCTATCTCACTTAGGCACTTTCGTGCGCTCCAGAAGATTGAAAATAACATTGAGGTTGAAACGTAGTTAAGTATATGAAACTAAGTACGCTCCAAGGGCATCTCTGATGATTTGCTGTACCACTATATAGGACAGTTCTATAATAATTCTCAATCCCATAACCCATATAACTAGATTGATTTCAGTAAAGTTATAGTAGTACTATCAGTAATAGCAGTAGTAGTGATAATAGAAATGAAGGAGAATGGTGCTACCGTTCTTCTGAATAATAGCCTATATCATCTTATCTGTCTATAGGTATAGTTCAATTTACTTAAAGGCTGCCATTTTCAACAATCCTGTAATTCGCTGATTATGATTCCACAGGAACTTTGAGACATTCTTGAATTTGTTGAAAGGAGTTTTGGGAACTGGGATTCTCGCCATGCCAGAAGGATTCAAATATGCTGGCATGATCAATGGAATCGTCTGCACGATGCTTATTGGAATTTTTTCTACTTATTGTTTTCACGTACTGGTAAGATTTTTCTCATCTCTCGTATCCATGATGTGGAGATACTCTTTATTTCAAAACGGGTTGTAGAAAGAATGTCAGTTTCCACACCCGATCCTTGTGGAAGGTAATTCTGATCTAAGAAAATCAAACTTCTCAGACGGTTGATGGAAAAATTCAGTATTTTGTAAATCAGTCATGAAGTAAAGTTTCGGAATATCATGCATATTGATATATATGAATCTTCCAATTTGGAATATAGTATCCAAATTCTTGAATATGACATATCAACGCATCCCTTTCTAGAAATAACCCATTTTCCAATCTAACGTCTTATAAAACATGTATAACAAATTATACTAATGATAGGTGAGATCCCAGTACGTACTCTGCAAGAAGAATAAAATAGGACTTCTACCATATCCGCATTCTATGAAAGCTGCATTGGCTATTGGTCCAAAATGGATGAGAAGATTCTCCAAATATGCTGGGTAAGTAGAAATAATATAAAGTACCCCGTTCCGGTCAGACTGCCAGTTTACTCGGTTGTTATTTGAGATAGGGCCTGGTTTTCACGTTCCTATACTCTATTTTTATCATAAATGCTAGTGTTCCGCAAGGATCAATTCTAGCACCAACACTATTTCCACTCCATATCAACGATTTGTTGGAACCAACTTCATGTCCAGTACACAGCATCGCAGATGATAGTACCCTCCATACCACCTCGTTTTCCAGGGCTCCAATACCAGCCAGGCAAATCAGAAACGAACGAAGGAGAAATGTTGACAACAAAAATATGGACTTGGCAACAATTCTCGAATGGGGATCCAATAACTTGGTAGATTTCAATGCATACAAAACACAAGCATGCCTTTTCTCTAGAAAAGCCGATCCCACTGTGCCCAACATAAGCTTGTCAGGAATAACCATACCTTTGAATACATCCATTTCGATGCTTGGTATTACCATCAGCAATAACCTTTCTTGGAAAAATCACGTAAGATCAAATGCTAAAAGTGCATCCCAAAAACTTGGTTTTCTGTTTCGGGCCAGGAGCTATTTCACTTCCAGTCAGCTGCTTATGATCTATAAGGCACAGATCCGACCTGTCCTAGAATACTGTTTCCATATTTGGAGTGCGGCACCCAAACATACCCTGAAACTGTTGGATTCTGTCCAAAAAAGGGCAATTCGTCTCGAGGATGATGCATCGCTCACGAACTCACTCACTTCTCTGGAACACCGTAGATGAGTTGGCGATCTGGCTCTATTTCATAGATATTTTCATAGACGATGCTCTTTTGAAATATCAACAATCGTTCTTCCCTTGCCAGTCCCCGCGAGATTAACCCGTCGAGTTGAGGCTTCACACCCCTTCGTGGTCACTTTGGAGACCTGCAGAACATCTCGTTCATCCAAGGCATCCATCCACGGCATAAAACCTCCAGAAATTTAGGACGAACACCAATTCCTACCTTATTTCCCTTGGTTCTCACGATGTTCTCTACACAACATTACATGGATAACCCTCTAAATTATGAAACCCAAAAGGGCCTTACTAGATTTTGGATAAGTGTTTCCGTTTATAAGGTACAAGGCGATTTCTAAAATGTATATTATATTGATTTGTATTTTCTGTTCCAGGGGAATAACTAATTTCTTTCTCATCGCCTACCAGATAGGAACTTTATGCGTGTACGTAATTTTCGTCGGGGTCAACATAAAAACGGTGTTCGACCAATATATCGAACGAAAAATTCTGCTAACTTTCTACATACTGATGTCCTTACCATTATGTCTGATGTTGATGTGCGTCAAGAACTTCAAAATGTTCGCCAAAGTATCGCTGTTTGGGAACGTTGTCGCCCTTCTGACGATAGGTGTCATCGGATACTACGTATTCCAGGATCTGCCGTCATTTGGAAATCGGCCTGCTTTTGGAAATTGGGCAGATTTTCCACTGTATTTTGGTACTTCGTTGTTCGCCATTCAGTCTGTACCAGTCGTAAGTAATAGTCTGATCAAATGGTATTTCTCCGATTAATAATAATAATAATAATAATAATAATAATAATATTCATTTCATTCTTTGCTATAAACATTACATTGCATCTCCTAGGAATATGAATATATTTTATTAAGATTTTCAATGGAATAACATGAATAATCAGACATATTTATATCTGGTATGAGATTAATCATGAGTCATCAAATTCAAGTAATTGAAATAAACAACAGATTCAGAAATAATTATTATAAAACGAAAAGCTCATGAAATAGAATATTATGTAACAAGTGTTATAAACGTCCTTTTAGTAACGAGTATTTTGAGCACGAGCGGAGCAGAGCGGAGCGAGTGTTTAATAAACGAGTGTCTAGAAGAGTTTATAAACGCGTTACATACTATGATTTTTCTACGAACTCCGAAAATTACATCAACATACCTGCTACTCCTGCTAACCTACAAAATAATTTGAAAGGAATGGGAATATAACAACATAATACATGCAACTGCATGCAACCAGCGAGACACGTATAAGTGATATTGGTTGTAGATGTGTCCAGTCCATTGCTTACTAACCTTCGTTTCATTGTTATTGTCATGCTTAGCGCAGAATAAATGAATTGTTCTCAAAGATGGATGCTTCGTTTTTATACTTCTTGGAGATATGCGAGTACCAGAACATTCTCTTCGATTTCACTTTCGTCTACTTTTCGCATATATTTTTGATGAAGAATTCTGATACAAACGAATATTGTTTGAATGATCCTGATACAAAATTTGAAAATAACAGTTGACAGTTAATTAATACAATTGACATGCCAGACATGTCTCAAATTGCTGAAGCTGTGTTTAATGAACTGCGTTGCCATGGTGATGTGTTTAAAAAATCGTGTTGCCATGGTAACGTGTTTAATATTTTGAATAAATCACAGATCGACAATCCGTGATTAGTCGATCATTTAGCGTGGTACATATCCGTACGCTAAATGCCATTTTAGTTATGTGTGTAGAAAAAGTATATTATGACATTATGAAATATATTAGTGAATGAGAAATCATTCACTCAGGTTTGATTTTCTCTTTGCAAGAGGATATGTTTCTTGAGTTTAATTTTGAATCATCAGATAATTTATTGAATTTTGAGATAGCTTCGTGAGTGAACTTTATTTTTGGCCAAGTGTAGAATTAGCAGCATCAAGATGAAACAAGTCAGTCTAGTATGATATTCATGGATTTGAGAATTCCTTGCCAATATGAAGTTTGATTTGAGGTGTTTGTGGATGATATCGAAAGAAATTTTTAGAGTATTCTCATCAGATATAGTGCTCTTCCAAAGAGAATGTATTTGTTTCTTCATAAAGTTGATTTGATGGGGTGTCATATGGAAGACGATTTATACCGGGTGACACAGGGTATCGGGCCACCCCTGTAACTTCTGCTTTCGTCATCGGATTTTTCTGAAATTCGGTACAGTTATATAAGCAATTATTTCGGATTTGATCACATTATAATCCAATATGGCGGACTTCCGGTATTTCTGGAAATGCCAGCAACTTTGTTTTTTCAAATGAAACACCCTGTATATTTTTACATATTCAAGTTCAACAGGTCGAAACAAGTGCAATCTTTATTTCAAATGTCATTTTTTCGAAAAAAATTAAATTGAAATTGTTTTTTTCATTTTACCTCGTGGATAAATGAGATGTGGTCAAGACTATTCACAATGAGTCACATAACAGAAGAACATATTTTTTTCTGAAAAAATATTTTTTGTGTCACTTATCCAGGAATCAATTCAGCCACATCACTTTTCGATCAAAAATTATTTTTTTCAAATGGAACCCCTATGGGCCACCTACCCGTTTCTCTAGAACATTATAGGGATTCCCTTTCGTGCGCTCCAAGCGATAAAAAAAAACCTAGTTTATGAATTTCCTTGCAGTTAGAATAATTTTTCAACTAGGTAGGCTTTGGAATAAATGACATTTGACATCAAGATTGCACTTGTTTTGACCTGTTGAACTCGAATATGTAAAAATATACAGGGTGTTCCATTTGAAAAAACAAAATTGCTGGCATTTCCAGAAAAACCGGAAATCCGCCATATTGGATTGTAATGTGATCAAATCCGAAATAGTTGCTTAAATAACTGTACCGAATTTCAGAAAAATCCGTTGACGAATGCAGAAGTTACAGGGGTGGCCCGATAGCCTGTGTCACCCGGTATAGTACAGATAATTTGTTAAAATTATTCTTGGAACATGAACCCCATATAGTTATGAGATAGTTCATTTTACTAAGGATGTGAGAGTATAGAACGGTATTTGCTATATTTGGGATAAGTTTTGGACATCTTCTTAGGGCACCAACTATGGGAGAAATTTTTTCTTTGAGCATGCCAATATGCTTGTCCCATGTTAACTTCTCATCAATCCAAATACCAAGGATTTTGGTATAGGCAGTTTGTTTCAATCTTTCATTTTCTATTCTAATATTCAAATCAATATTTTGTTCATTCCATAATGAAAAGTTACCTATATATTATTTGGTCTCATTAGAATTATGGGAAAGAAGATTGGGGTATAGCCATTCTTCAATTCTCTTCAAATCCTCATTTATGTTGTTTTTTAAAACTATTATATTCGATTCTTTCACTCATTATAAAATATACGTTTTTGATTGGTTGAAAAATAAATCATAACTTTGACATAACCTTACTTGCACGACAAAACGGCAAACGACCATAAATAAAAATAAGGCTGTCTGTGACGCACAGTGTTGCCAACAATCAATATAAAAAACGACTAGATGCTTGTTGGAAAATGGCTGAATAATGGCCAATTTTCATTTCAACGTATAGTAGCAATTGTGCATTAACTCAAAGTTATAATCTGAAGGAAATTGAATGTTCATCGTTGATGAAGTATTCAGCCAGTAACATTTTCACCATTTCAACTGTTTTTCAACGTTTATGGAACGAGCATGTGTTCATTGGGTGAAATTGGGTCTATTGCAGGTGGTTAGTGTGGAGAACAACATGGCCACCCCAGCCAACTTTCTGGAACGTTTTGGATCACTCAACATCGGATTCGGAATTGTAACAGTTCTTTACACGATAGTGGCTATGATGGGGTACTGGAAATATGGAGAAGATATTAAATCTTCTATAACTTTGAATTTTCCTGCAGAAGAAGCGTGAGTAATATATGTTGACGCCGTTAGATTCAAATTATCAGTATCGGAAAAAAACTGCATCTCTTGCTGTTTTGACTAATTAAGATACGTCTCTGTCAATGAGAATCCGATATATACTTATTCAACATTAGATTTTTTTATGAATAGTAATAATAACATTTATTGATCCCAAGAAACATACAATGTTTATAGAGGGAAACAAAAAATATATAATAATAATATCGATGAATACTACAAACCCGAAATGAATGTATTATTTCAATTTATGTTACTCGAACATTAATAGGGATTACCTTTTGCACACTCCAAGCGATAATATATGATATACTTATACAGTATGATGCAAATGTATGGAATAAATTCATTATTTCAGAAATGGGCGACATTTGAAGAAATTCCAAAAACACGTGAGTTTTAATTTTTGAAACCTCATCTCATGACATTCATATGAGAGATGTTACGTCACCGGTGTTGGAGTAATGACGTAATGGACGGTTTATTTAAATACAAACAGGGGTCATGTGACACCTCGTTTGAAAGGTCTACTGATCGTCTATCCAATAGTCAAAATTTTGCAAAAGAAGATTGAAATTAAAATGGATTATCATTTGGTTAACTGAATCTTGAAGAGATCTTCTACTGAGAATTGAACATCGAAGGGTCGTCTAGTTGAAAAAATACTTCGATAAAAAAGTTCTGAACCCTACTTTTTGGATTTTTTTCGGAAGTCGTCTTGTTTTGAAATGAATTTATTCCATACATTTGCATCATACTGTATAGCTTTCAGTAGTGGATTCGCCCTATTGAATTTCACTTCCTACCGCGATTATTACCATTTTTCAACGATTCCTCACTATAAATTAAGAATAACCACAGTAAATCTTTTCATATTGTGTAAGTAATAAAGTAGTTACAATGTCTTATAGGATCATCGTTTCAAATAATCGACTGCTGAATCGGTATGGGAAAACTATCTCATTCTTCTCCAGGAATCAGAGATTTTCTTAATGATATGACTTATTTATAAAATATGTAATCTTCGTTTTCAGAAATGTTCATCCGAAATCATGCATGAATTTTGATGATACTCTGGCTATGGTTTCAATGAAGTCATTGAAGAGAATTATTCCACAGGGTGATTTATAATGATCTGACTATTTCGAAAGATCATAACTTTGCTATTCAAAATGGAACACCGTATATATATTAGCTCTTGATTTGTTTGCGTGGTTTGAGCACAGATAAAATGAGGTTTGAGGAATCGAATTATCTCTACAAGTAATAATTTTAACCAAGATTCAAGATTTATTCGGTTTCATTTCACTCAGAAGATATTCATCGTTGCTTCATTGAAAACTAGAACAATGGATTTAAAAGTTTTGAATTTTGAACTATGGTACCCAATACATCATAATACATCCAGAATAATAAATCATTTCATGATACATATAAGGAAAGTCTATTATTTCATTACATAGGTATGGTTTATAACGGATTGACCCAATGCACTAGTGAAAACCCTTGCTTTGCTAGCTTTTTTTTTCGTAACAGATGTAACTAGTTGTCATACTATTATTTTTATAGGGTTGGTCAATCGATAAGGGTATTATACTCAATATCCATCGTATCTTCCTATGGTCTAAACGGTATAGTACCAATCCGTATCATCTGGGATGATTATGTCGCCAATCTTCAATATTTCAACGAAGCCAATAATTGCAAGAAACTGATGTGGGAGTATGCTTTGCGGATAGTAATGGTTCTATTCACCTGTGAGTATATCAAGATTGAAATAACATAATGAATTAGTATTTTCATTAAACCGTCAGTTTAAATGAAATCATAAATCGTTTAGTGCCATAGATTCGATGTTAGATACGTTAGATACAGTCGACGTTGAAAGTTTTATTCTCATTTCCGAATAAACTGCGAAGAAATCAACGTGTGGTACTCCGGGATATACTGAAATGTACTGAATAAAATAAAAATCGCTTAGGTCTTGGAATAGTCCTTGATAAACTAGCTAGGTACGTAAAGAATGAATCCTCTGTCCGAATAGACACTAATGAAACACGGGTTCATTCCAAATATCTGTTGTAGCATACGCAGAAGGCTAGAAAACCCGATATGGATTGGGATAAGATAGAAGACTTATTAAATATCAGTCAGTCTTGGTGGTTTTTCTAAAATCCTTCAAGCAGAAATCTTCTTTATAGATTTGTATGTTAGAAAGTTGACTAACAGACATCTATAGTGAAAAAAACTGTATCAAACAGCAAACTGCTCTCAAAGCCCTTCACAATAGCAAAGCAAACTCCAAGAGGCTGTCTGATCTGATAAGAGGTTGTCATAACCAGCTAACAGGATTGTTTACAGTAAAATATCTATCATCTGAAATATCTCATTAGTTTCTGCTGTGTGAATGATGGAACACCTGAACACAAACTATGCTCATTCTGTTAAAACAGACGGACAGATCATAATCCCACTTCATGGACAGCGATGTGTGGAAGGCTGTGGATAATTCTAACTCTGATTTTTTTGCCCTCAAATTTAACAAGGTGGCTAGGAATTACATTCCAATTCGGAGCTCCTGAAGTGGTTTATTTCGAATAATGAAATACCCCATCTTCTTCATCTTCTCTGCACGGTAGGGCGGGTGCAAAGACCCTTGCACTTAGGCCTGGGCGTACCAATTTCTTTGAGGAATTTTAGCACCTTCCTCAGATGAATCACTTACACATCCTTCGAGTATGGTATACTGATCCCAAAGGCAGCTTTCCTGTCATGGGCCAACGCGTGGCATTCAGCAAGTGCATGCGATGATGTTTCATCATCCTCCAAGAACCATCTGCAGATGGGATCATCTTCGATACCTATGAGCTCCAGTAGCCGTTTTAGGAGCCGAACTACCATCCTGAGATTTCTTCTATTGAGTGACAGGAACTCTCTCGTGAGTTTTCTTGATTGTCTCCTTATGCGGTGCTTTGCTTATCTCATTCCTGGTGTGTCTTACCATGTTTCAAGGAACTCCTTTCTGTAGCAATTCCTTCATGAAGGATATAGCCATGCTTTTGGGCATTCCCAGGATCAGTTCAGGTCCAATGGGAGTCATTCCATATGAGGCTGACTTTCCTAGTTCTTGCCATATTTTCCAAGGCACTTCTACACTTGGACACCAATTTAGTTGTGATCCTATCTGGAATATCCCTTAGAGGAGCTCTAGAAACATATCATCAGAAAGGCAGGAGTACAACGATTATCCTGTAACACGCATCCCAGATTGTTCTTGAACATCTCAATGATTCCTACATGTACCAGCCTATTTCCGAACACTCAATAAATGTCGCGGTGACAAATAACGTGATAGAAGATTCTGGGATGTTCTGGAAACAATCGATGGAACAATTAGAGAGAGAGGTATTGTTCTAAGAAGCTTCTAGGATGAAAGAAGGGTACGGAAGATCATTCAAGAATGTTCGAGAAGCAAAGCCTGCCATCAAGGGATCTTATATTGTATAAGGACGGCCGGACAACTGCCGTCAGTCAGTCAAGCAGCGAGTGTCAGAGAGACAGTCATATACCGCGTGATATTATAAATGGTTTTATATGAATAGTAGTTATAAGTTCGATATAAATCAGTTCAAAAATAAATAGTGTCGTGTTCGCTTCTGCACCCGAATAACGTAACAATATTGATAGAGCTTTATTTCATTGCTTGGTGTAATAATTCCAAGATGATATTTTTAAATTGAATGATCGAGGCAGCACCTTCCACAGATGAATCACTTACACATCCTCCGAGTATGGTATACTGCTCCCGAAGGCAGCTTTCCTCTGATGGGCCAACGCGGAGCTTTCAACAAGTATATGCGATAATGTTTCATCATCCTCCAAGAACCATCTTCAGATGGGATTATCTTCGATACCTATGAGCTCCAGTAGCCGTTTTAGGTGGTTGTGAAGTCCAGTAAGGAGCCCAACTACCATCCTGAGATCTCTTTTATGGAGTGACAGGAACTTTTTCGTGAGCTTTCTTGATTGTTTTCTCTTGCCATATTTTTCAAGGCCCTTCTACACTTGGACACCAATGCAGTTGTGATCCTATCTAGAATATCCCTTTTATTCTTTTCGAATTCACATGTGGATAGAAATCATAATATTGATAGTGCTTTATTTCATTACTTGGTGTACTTCCAATAAGTAAAGGTGTTCCACAGGAATCTGTTTTAGGGCTCATCTTGTATTTATTATATATTCGAAATATTTCTAGAATTGGATTGTCAGGTAATTATACTATATACTGTACTTTTATACGAAAACAAGAACCTCATCATTCTAGAAATTATTTTTTACGAAAATTTCAAAAAATTTGAAGAATTGCTTATTCAAACATGTTATCGAATGATACCAATAGAACTGAATATATAATATTCCATCAGGAGAATAAACAGAATATCAGTCTTGATCTCCAAATTAAAAATAAAGTATTGGAAAGAACGACACAAATAAAGTATCTTGGTATGTGGATTGATAAAAAATGAAAATGGGACAATCATACAGAGTTTCTGATACAGAAAATATCACTGAAGCTTTGCGAAGATGTCCTAAACTTGACAAAAAAGTCAGAAACATTCTCATATACTCAGTTATATTACTTATATGATGAACGTTTGGGGATCTTGTTCATAAAATTGCCAGGATGGCCAATATTTGACTCGACTCCCATCAAATGTTAACGTGGTAAATATGTGCACCTTTGTGGACAGGTTTGAAACGTGACCGATATTCCCAAACAGCGGTCTGGTCAAACCGATGGTCAGACTTCATACTGAACGTATGTGCCCGGTCAAACCACAGACTTGACACAGCCTTTGCCATTTACGGATTAGTCCCTGTGGCTATTTTTATGACTTGATCGAGTTAGAATGATTTTATTGTCCAGATTTTGTTGATGTTGTTGTTGTTGTTGGCACCTTATATTATTTTATGATTGTTGTTTGGGATCAACTTCCTCATACCAGAATTTTATTTCTGACTGGAAACTAGTTTCTCAATAAACAATAATAATAAAAAAACTTCCAAGATGATATTTATGAACCAACTCTCATTTTCAGTCCTCATGGCCTTGACGATCCCCCACCTAGGCCTATTTATCTCGCTGGTAGGCGGCTTCTGCCTCTCGATGCTGGGCATCGCTTTTCCTGCCCTCATGGAGATCTGCGTTCTATGGCCAGACAGGCTGGGCAAGCACAAGTGGATGCTGTGGAAGGACTTGTGCATCGTTGCTATTGGATTCGTCGGTTTCGGCGCCAGTTGCTACGCTTCCATCAGGGACATCTACACGGAGCTGTCGGCGGGAAATACGTGAGTGGAATACCTACCTACTGTGTGGTGAGCGCCTAGGCCCCGAAGACCCATCAGGTCAACCTAGGCTATGGAAATGGGCGCAGGATACAGGAAAATTCAACGTCACCCGATGAAATATTTGCTTTGCATACATCTTGGAGTTTCAATGTTAATATTTTTGCGAAAAATGTGCTAATAATTCAAATACCATCAGAAAAGCTCTAAAACGAGGTGTGTAGTTGAATATGCTCAAAAAAATTCATACTACTCAAACCTACTGGAAGAGGCAGTAGTTTAGAACTTTGGCCTAGGGCGTAAATAGTATAGGTGAAATAATTACTTTGTCAATTAGTAAGCAACCAACTAACTAACAAAATGAAAAACTAACTAATTAACTAACTCACTGAAAAACAGAATAACTGAATAATTGAATGTTTCAGGATCGGGAGTACCTGATGATGAGCTATTCATTTGGTTGAGGAGTATGCTTCTACGAGTGAACTAGCAACAGCTGCTTTGAATAAATACCTATGTGATTTTATATATCAATAGTGTTTGAATGGTGGAATAAAAGCAGTAGTATGTGGAGATGATTTTATTTGGATTGTGTTATGTGTATATAACAATAAATAATGCAACTTTCTGGAACTGATTGAAAGTGAATTGGAATAGTTGTCAAGATTTGCGAAGATAATTCCACCAATTGAAAGATTCAGCAATTTTCTGTAGGAGTCCTCTTAACCACACGTTTTTTCATGGGATATTCATATATGTACAGGGTGTAAATTTGAAAACTTCCAATGCGAATATCTCGCGAAAGAAAAAAGTTAGAAAAACGCCGTTTGGCAAAAATGCTAAAGAGTTAAGGGGAACTAGAACCACCATATTTCGATCAAGGGATGAGTCACCCCGTCGGCGCGACACACTCCATCTTTGAAATGTCAAATGGCACTACCTTTTTTGTGATGCCTCGAATGAACAGTCTCAGTCAGTAGTATTCACCTGTACAAGACTTTTTTTCCACCCACTACAGGGTGTACGAAAAATATAAAGTCGAATAAAATAAAATGAATTGTGTTAAAATGATATTTTATTTGATCAGATGTTCAAAATGCATTCTGTTGAGGGCAATAGTATAATCGATGTTCAAATGCCATTCTAACATTTTGGAACACATCTCTTGGAATATATCGGCATTCTGCATTTTATTTTATTCGACTTTATGTTTTCCGTTTACCCAGTAGTGGATGGAAAATAAGTCTTGTACAGGTGAATACTACTGACTGAGACCGTTCATTTGATGTATCACAAAAGAGGTAGTGCCATTTGACATTTCAAAGATGGAGTGTGTCGCGCCGACGGGGTGACTCATCCCTTTACTGAAGTATGGTGGTTCTAGTTCCCCCTAAATCTGTAGCATTTGTGCCAAACGGCGTTTTCCTAACTGTTTTATTTAGCGAGATATTCGCATTGGAAATTTTCAAATTTAGACCCTCGAATTAATGTTTTTCGTGCACCCTGTAGTGGGTGGAAAAAAAGTCTTGTACAGGTGAATACTACTGACTGAGACCGTTCATTTGAGGTATCACAAAAGAGGTAGTGCAATTTGACATTTCAAAGTTGGGGTGTGTTGCGCTGACAGGGTGACTCATCCCTTTACTGAAGTATGGTGGTTCTAGTTCCCCTTAACTCTTTAGCATTTTTGCCAAGCGGCGTTTTTCTAACTTTTTTATTACGCGAGATATTCGCATTGAAAGTTTTCAAATTTACACCCTGTATTTATATATATATATATGTATATGATGTAACTATATTACCATTTCTTTGTTGTTTTCAGGTAGGTACCTATACTTACTTCCGTTCTATGATTCACGTACATGAATTAGTTTTTGTATTCTTTTTTTGCTTAATCTCCGATGGAGAATCATGAATGAGAGTTCCTCACTTGATACTTTTTTATTATTGAAAACTGCTCACGGCCCACTAGCTAAAATTCATGATAATTTGTGCTTCTTCACCATTTCTGGAAAACCTATATGTATTATAGGCATTACTTCATTTTAATGGTAAACAATTGCAAATTCAACGGTATAATGAAATACAGGGTGTTCCATTGAAAAATAAGTATGTATAAGTATATATGTAAGATTGTATCTCGCCCTTGTGACGCACTTCAATGTCCTGTAGTTTCAATAAAAAACTGTACTTGGGGGTAAGTATATTATTATATATTTAGTCTCAATCTTCAACCCACATCATTTTTCTGGAGAAAATTGGAAACAAATTATACTGATATGAGTATTATTTCATTTTCATAATATCATGCACTATTCAATATTGAAATGCTAATCATTAGACCCCTATATGAGCGTCATGTCATTCTCATATAAGTGTTGTTTCACAGTTATATGATTCTTTTGAAATGACGGACTTGACTAGAGTGTAAAGGGAACTATGCTGGCGCCTATTCAATTCAGAAATCTTTCGAAGGTTATACAGTTTCGTATAACAGCTAATAGATATTTCTCTCGATGTGATTGATTGAATTTCAGAAAAAGTCAATTGTATTCCAGATAGCGTCAATTGATTTCCAGAAAGTATCCATTGAATTTCAAATAATATTTTCAGAAGTACAAATGACACTTTTTGAAATTCAATTGACACTTTCTGAAATAAAATTGACGCTTTCTGAAATTGAATTGACTATTCTGAAAAAGAATTGATTTTTAAAATACAACTGGAAAAGTTGTAGATTAGAAGTTGACTACCATCTCATTCCTTCTCTATACTCTATATACAGGGTGTTTGGTGCATTGTGTGCCAAATTGAAATGATCGAATGTACATGAGTACTTTTGAATACGAAACTAGTGACATAAGTCATCTACTTTTTTTTAAATTTACTCGCAAAGTTTTAAAATATGGAAAACTCAAATTGAAGCTGAGATTTTACATAGCTACAAAATAAACCAAAAGCGACCAGGATCTTCCAACTCCCTCAAAAGTTCTCTAGTCTATCATCTTGCTAATGATGTGTCACATGCCATGAATATCTTTCAACAACTCTGTAAATTCGCTAGAAATATTTAGAATTATGATTCAAAAAACTATTTTTTTGAATGATACCTGGACCTATTATATTTGTTATCTCACTCTTATGAGGTGAAATCTGTCTCGTATCTCTATTTTTTCGTTGATCATACTCGAAATGAACAAAAAATGAAATTGCATTTTCAACATTTATTTCGTAAGGTACCTAATCATCAGAAACCGTTCCTGGTAGTTCGTTGCGCTGCTCGCGCGTCTCCATGAGAGGCTCCATAAGCCATCATGATATCCGCATATTCTTCATTAGAGAATGTCGCCATTGCAACAACAAAAACGTCAACAAAGTTTAACAATAACACCAAGAGTAACAAACTGAAAGAAGTTAGGTAGCAGAGGCAGTGATGTCTCGACTAAAAAATTATGGGGTCGGTGGCAGTTCGTGATTTGTTCAAACAGATTCACTTTGTACAAGAAATATAAATTTTTCTTGTTTCTGGAGTAACAGTTACGCAAAAATATTTTTTTAGATCAACCTTATGAGACTTGATTGACATTTCTAGCGAATTTACAAAGTTGTCAAAATATATTTATGTCATGTGACACATCGTTAGCAAGAGGACAGAATAGGGAACTTCTGAGGGAGTTGGAAGATCCTGGTCGTTTTTTTTTGTAGCCATGTAAAGTCATGGCTTCTATTTGAGTTTTACATATTTCAAAACTTTGCGAGTAAATTAGAAAATAACTAGATGACGTATGTCACTAGTTTTGTATTTAAAAGTATACTCTAACACAATACACATCTGAATGAAATTCAAATTCAGAGTCTACGGCTTACACTTTTTTCAAAAATTGTATATGAATGTTGAATTAGGGTATTTTTTTGATAAACAGATAAAAAGGCGAATAAAAATAATCCACAGGGCCTGAAAGGTGTTAACTAGTCTTAAAAGATAGCAGATGACCCCTTCATTCGACCATATCAATTTGGCACACGATGCACCAAACACCCTGTATATCCGATCCGATTACTTATATACCTATCACATAAGTTGCATGTTGCATTCCTCGAATTCCTTACCGAGTACAGAAAATACCTACTCGATGATGCAGTTTCATGTATCTACCATCTCTTCTAGCGGCAGATAGCTAGTCCCAACACCAAGGCTAAACAGATTTGCACCTCAAAGCATCTCAAAGTCTGCTATAGTGTGCGCATAGATGTGTGCGGTTACCCGTCTAAGCTAGTGTTGAAGTCTCTCACGCGGTCGCAAACAAGTCCCGATTGCCAAAACATCGCAGCTATTGAAACCAAATCAGTTTTTGGTTGAAACAATCCACTCTATGACGTAATATCAATGCGGCTTTCCCCACGCAACTACCGCTTGAGTGCTAAGTAAACTTATGACAAAATCTCAGTTGGCTTTGTGTGTTGTATAAGGCGAGGAAGCGAGTGAGTGCGGCTAAACCCACATACGTAACAGCTGGTTTTGGACAAGTGGTTTTTCGAAAGTGAGAGTGAAATACGAGAACATGTTGTGTGGATTCCGAAACCGTAGGTAGTGTGCAGGACTTCGATAATTCATTTTCTCCTTTTAAGGTGAGCTCTAAACAAATGTATTCAATAATTCTTTGTATCGTGGATGTCATCTTTTGTTTTTGCTCTTTCTTGAGCCAAACTGGGTTTGTCATGGTTGAGGAGTTTGGTCGATCAGTGGAAAATTGTTCGCTTTGTGATCATGGCGCTGAATAATCGGAAGTTCAAAACGAGATCATTGAATCCAACACCTTGAATAATTACATGTCAATTCTGAAGAGATTATACGCAGGGACAGACAGGATCTTTGGACTGGCCCATCAGGCGAGTTGGTTCCAATGCTTGCTAGATTTCAATTTGCTAAAGTACAAGAATACTCTGGTGAAATTAATTCAAATAATTATGTTAAATCCTGATTCTATATTGGTATAATTCAGAAAAGTTTAACTTGTACTCAAATGTAGATATTGGTCCAATATAATGAGATATTTTGATAACAATATTGATGAATTATTTACTCAACCTATATAAATTCAAATCATCTACAATATTGGGACAATATTGGTTGAATAATTGAATAATAATATATGGAGAAACATCTATGAATATGATTTGAATTTGTTTCAGCAAATACCGGTAAAAAAACTCATCCATACTTATATTGTTTTATAGCACATTAGTTGAATATTGAAAACATATCGTTCGTTATATCATGCGACTGATATTGAAAACAAATTATTCTGAAAATGGATATCAATATCGGCATTTCAATATGTATCTCATAATAATCTTCAAATTCGATGTTGTTGTATAGATGCAATGTCATTTTTTCGTTTTTGGCCAATATACCTGTTGAATCTCAAGTAGTTTCATTC